GATAGTTCCGTGTAGACATGCTAGAAAAGGAGACCTGGAAGGTGAGGCTATGCTGGGTTCCTTGTTAGATACCAGAGTGGGAGGAGGAGGAGGAGTTGAAGCAACAATGACAAAAATCAGTGATTGAATAGGAAAAGCATACCTTTCCATCTATAAATACCAGTTGTACCACACTGTATGAATATCTACACATACTATGTGAAAATACTATGTGATGTTCACATCAAATTAAACAAAAGTTTATGCTCAAATTTGATTCATTAGAAAATATCTATTTTGATATCTTCAAATTGGATCTGTAGCTAATACTTTACCCACTTCTTTTAATTTGCTCTATGAAGGGCCTGAACACAGTCCCATCTTAATGACATTATTTAAAACTACCGTGGTCATCACTAAAGGAAGTAGGGAGTGTCTGAATCAGAGGCTTTATATTTCAGAGTAGTGCAAGGAGCTCTTTCAGACTCACCCAACCAGCTGCTAACTTCCTCTATGAAGAGAGTAAGGTAAATATTTCTAAAGCCCGCCACTCAATATCTGGCCGGACACTTTTGAGAGAGGGAAGTGAATTTATGGCTGCTTCTCTGCCTCTGAGAGTCTAACTCATCAAACAATGTCAGAATTGCTGCCAGGTCCTGCTCTCAGCTTTTCTGTGTTCCGGCTCTGACTATGGCTGACTCCACGGGGCTGCCCGGGGAGGTGGGTGCCCGCCGCCGGCCGGGGGCTCGGAGGCCGTCGGAGCTTCGTGGTGTGTTCTCAGACTGATGAACAGCCTTTAGGGAATGATGGACGAATCTAGATTCTGTATTTCCAGTGTTCTTGTTTAAGGCATTGCAGGTTGAAATATACTAATTTTTGATGTTATAATTGACCTCTGTTTTAATTGCATAGTAAAGTGCACAACTGATTAGGGATTTATCAATATTTGAAACTACATTTTTAATACAAATGGAAAGATTTGAAAATATTTCTGTAAAGGAGTAACTCTATTTATAGCATTACAATTAACTTACTTGGAAACAATAAAAATTAAACATGTGAACTAGCAGTTATTCATCTTTTTCTCCAATATGTGTATTTTGGTTTGTTAACACAGTTTTTTTTTCTCTCTCAATAATATACTATGAAATATGATTATTTTTCCTTGTGCAGACAAAATTATTCTAAGATTAGATAATATTTTGATCAAACATTTAAGACACGATTTATCAATCAAGTATAATATTCTTGGGTACATGAAATATGATCATTATAATTTTGTTTTATTGAATGTGTTTTGTCTCTGGTTTTTCTTATGCTTTATTTAAAAATTACTTTTCTTTCTTTTAATTAGACTTAAAAAAAAATGCTTTAGTGAGTACCTTTTTTTCCTTTTGTGTTGATGATAGGAAGGAAGGGGTAAAACATTTCTTGGACTGAAATATACCGAAAGTAAGCAAGTAGGCTTTAGGTGTCTGTGGACTTTTAGGTCCTCAAGTCTGTTTGGTATTGAAAAACGTTCATGAGTTTTATTAACTTAAAAATTATAAATCAACTACATATCAATATATTAAACTGAAATATTTATGTAAGAAACATAAGAATATGATATATTTGTAGTAAAATATAAAATTAGTTGAAAGCCAAGTTTTTACCATATGAAAAGATTTTTCTTCATTGCTATGTTTGAATGACATAACAGATATACTGATATTGTTTCTGTAGCTTAAAATTTATTTTTGTTTTTACTTTCCTTTAGTTATTTAGCTAAGACCTAAGTCATCGTATACTTGGTGATGGTTTGTTGTATTTTGTTGTTGTTGTTTTTTAAGAGTTACTATGAAAGGAAATTACAGGAGAAAGAAAAATCACAGCTTGGTATCATGTAAATATTTATTTATCTTTCACTTGATGGAAATTAAGTGCTGAATTTGCCAACAAGAGTCAGACTTTATGTCAGATGAGAAGAAGAGAATCTTGCTTTCATTTCTGGAACCCACAGCGTAACTGCATAAAGCTTACAAAATCAATTATGTGAAGTGAACTTACTTTTTGGTATTTATTTTCAACATGTATGAACAAGAATGCTTAAAGACATATAATCTAATTCCATTTACCACTTTAAAAGCCATTGCTTGAGAATTGATAATGGTCTAGGAATGTCTCGGTTCATATTTCTCTATAATGGTTATTTCTCTAGTATAGTTTCTCTGCTTCAGTGATAAAAAAATACATACTTGATGCTTGAATACACCAACTTCTGTGTAGCTTCCCTTCTCTTTGATGTTTTGTGAAAGTCACCAGGGTGACCAAAAGAAACTGAAAATTTGTGACTCAGCCCCACCTGGGTGGCTCAGTTGGTTGGTGCCTCGTCCCATACACCAAAAGGCTTCAGTCTGATCCCTGGTCAGGGACATACTAGGTTAAGGGTCTGATCTCTGGTGAGGGTTGCATGCAGGTGGCAACTGATCGAGGTTTCTCTCTCATGTCAATATTTCTCTCTCTCTTCCCCTTTCTCTCTTTCTAGAATCAATTTAAAAATATATCCTGGGGTGAGGATTAAAAAAAATGTGACTTAAAGAATTATTTGAAAGAGTTTTTTCACCCTAGGGGGTAAAATACTAAAACATAAATTTGTAAAGAAACAAGACAAGTTAGAGCTTGACCAAAGAAAAATGTATTGGAAAATGTGCTTTTGTGCTTTGAGAATGTGGTACTACCAAGTAGCTTCCAGACTACATTGGATAAAACAGGTCCCCAAACAGGGTCATTTAAAAATCTTTCAGGTCTTATTTTGAAGATTTTACTCCATATTATACCAATTATATTATAATGTACCCACAATTCTCTATTAAATATAATTTTCACTGTAAATAGTTTAAAAGGATTATATGACCTTGCATTTAAAGTTACTCTCCTAAGAGTGACTAATTTCATTTATTATGATTTTCAGCAATCAACATGAAGTCTCAGAAAGTGTTTTAAGACAATCTGGCTCACATTTTCTCCCTAAAATTAAGGAACTTTTTATGACTACTAAACAATATAAAAACCAACGTATGCTTCAGTTTAGTGTATTTACTTGTATATACATTAATTTTAATCTTACCATTTTTCATATTTTTATAAACAATACTTACTTTTCAGATGTAAAATATGATTTTTGAATCCTTGAAAAGTTTGGGGGCCTTAGGCAATGCCAACATTGCTCATTGGATTCAATAAGAAATCCGTTAAAATTTTTCTGGATAGCTATGAAAAAAACATAGATGTTCTTTCTTGGAGTAAAGGGTATGTTGAGAGTAAATGAGTTTCTCACCCTGTGTTCCTGGGGGTATAACTGTAGAGTGGGATCCATAGTGAATTGAGAGGGAGCTGAATTTGACTTTGAAACACAGTTTTGTTTTAGACTTGTGCCTCCATGATGTTCTCAGGGCTTGGAATTCCCAAGTGCAGAATATGGGGTTCTCAGAACACTCAGGACATATTTAAGTTGGTGTTTTTCAGGACAGAATAGAGAACAATGAATGCAGCAGCTTTAACCCATTGACCATCTACAATGGGTCAGGCATTATATAGAGTTCTTTCTCAATTTTATTTTAAACTCAAGCTCCCATTTGGTAAAGTAGAATTGAAAACTTATTTTAATGTCATTTTTAATTTTCCAAGGCATTAAATTTTTGTGACTTCAGTGATGTAAATATGACAACAGTTTTAGAATATTCTTGTTTCCAACCACAAATGTGTCCCTCCCTCTGACTTTTTGCTTCCTCCCCATGCCCTGACACCTCACTTCAGATGCCCAGATGTTATGGTGTGGTCCTCTTACAGGTGTAAGGGTGGAAGGACACATGTTTTTCTGTCCTATAAATCATCTCACTGAAAAAGATGAAACTTCAAACCTCAGAGAAGTTAAATACTTGACCCAGGTCACACAATCATTAGCAATAGGGTTTGGATTAGGATTCGGTCCCTTAAGAGTTCACATCTCTTGGGACCTGCCACACCATGGGGTGTGATAGCACAGAATATTCAAGAATAATAATTTGGAGTATTCATGTGAATTCACATAGCCTGAGACAATCTCTACTGTGGTACTAGGATCAGTTTGAGTATTATGGAAAATACTCAAGAAATGAGTCTGCAAGAAAACAAAATACCACAGTAGATCCCGGAAGAATTCCATGGAGGGGTGCAGGAACAACATCAAGAATTCAAGGATAATCTCATTTTCATCCTGGATTCTAAATTTGCTATTGTACCTTAGGTTCTCTAGTAAGAGGTAGACTTCTCAGGTGGAAAGTCTTATGAATGTTTGTGGTACACTGTATGGTAATTACATTTCCATTCTCAGAAGAAGCAGAAAAAGTTCTGAAAATAATAAATATACTTATAGGACCACGGATGCGTAATGTTGGAAATGAAGATGGTCCTAAAAAAGTTAGGATGTATGATTATTTTAAGAATGTGTATGCAGGCTATAATGAAGAGAATGACTAAGGAAATGCTGTATTAAATCTCCAGGACTATAGTCCATTTAACAGACTAATATAATATTTACTTTATTGCAAACAGTACTTTTGCTTTATTTCAGCTTAGAAATCTGGGATGGTTTTAGAATAGACCCCATCAATGTGTCTGCTTAGGACTTACAAATGAAACTATGAGAGGACATGGGATAGAAATGCCACATCAAGAAGAAATGGCAATATGTCCTGGGTATGAATATGAGACCATGGGCAGGAACACAGAAACATTGCACTAGAGAATGTTAATGTAAAAAAAAAAATGAGTGTATCATATTTTTGTTGCCAGAAGAGGTAGTTTTCGTGTGTTGGCAACAAGAACACTGGAGCAAATTAACGTCTTTTTTGTTCTAAGTTATTTGATAGTTACATCCAAGGTGGAAGAAATGAAGCTTTTAGAAAGTAAAAGAATATAAAGCCCACGCCATTCATGGACAATGTCTCCGGGACTCATTTCATGTCCTCGTCCTTCTTCAGGTGGCATTCCACTTCACGATGGCCTCCCTTCCTGCAGTGAATGCAGACTTCTGCTTCAACCTCTTCCGAGAGATGGATAACAACCTTGGAAGCGGAAATGTGTTATTCTCCTCTCTGAGCATCTTCACTGCCCTGGCCGTGGTCCGCTTGGGCGCGCGAGGCGACTGTGGTGCCCAGATGGATAAGGTCAGTCTCAGCTGTGGCTGCTGCGGTTAACCCTCAGGACAACTCATGTTCCCCCAGGGAATATTTGATCGCACCGGTCCCAGGGAAGTGAGGGCATGTCAACGAGCCCCTCTCCGGACGTGAAGAATGCGTGCAGCTCGCAGGCCTTGTTTTCCAGCTGGGGGACAGCAGGGCTATGTCCAGAACTGCAGCTTTGGTCCTTTTCTTTAGTACAGGTTCCTGAAGCGTGTTTCCCAGATCAGCACCGACAGCATGACCGGGAGAGCTGGTTAGAAATACAAATGCTTGGGCCTCCCCTAGCCCTACTGAATCCAAAACCATGGATGGAGCCCAGCGCAATCCCCATTTTAAGAAACTCTCTAGGTGCACGAGGAAAGTTAGAGAACCCGTGCTTGAATAAATATGGATAAGAAAGAAGAGTTCCAAGGAGATACCAAGGAAGTCCTAGTTTAAACGCTGTGACTGGGCACAAATGGCATGATAGAACATTCCAGATAATAACAGCCTTCCTGGACTGTCATCAGATCGTCGCCACCACCTTTAGAAAGTGCTTATTAACTCACTCTTGTACACCGCCCTGAGCCAGGCTCACAGGGAAGTGAAATAGCAGCGGTTTCCCTCTCTTCTCTCAGGAATTGGTCCTCAAAATTCGGTAGCAGTAGAGATGCCAGGTCCAGAATGCATGTGGAGGCCACTGTCACCCCCTTTGCCTGGTGACTGCCCTCATTACGGCTTCTATCTACGTGTCTCTTTTAAGCACTATCATGGACCAAGAGTCCTTTTTCTTCCTGATGCTCAAATGTTCACAGTCAGTACAAATCCCTTAAACTAGCCAAAGAATATATGTGCATATACGCATGGCTCATGGATACAGACAACAACGTGGTGAAGGCTGGCAGGTAGGGGGCGGACAAGGGCTGGGCGGAGGGTGGCAGCAAGGAGTGGCAAAGAGGGAACATCTAGAATAGTGCCAACAATAAAAAAATACACTTAACAAATCATTAAAACAAATAAATCCTTACACATGACTCTAAATTATCTTTGCTTACTGACAACAAGCTGTTCTAGACTGGCCTTGAATTTTCTTGCCTCAAAGAGGGGTCAGCTACTGACCATGAAGCAGGGCGCCTTTAACAGATAATAGTATTAAAGTCCAGAATCAGCCCGAGTGAGGTTCCATGGATGAAAGTGAGCTGCAAGCTGCTTGCCATTTGAGGGAAAGACTCAGAAAACTATATTTATTTACAAGATTGTGTGTTCAGGTTTATATTTTTTATTTAGCTCTAATATTACTGAACTTTCTTGTTTTCATATAAAATTTTTTAAATTTATTTCTCTTTTTCTGAACTTTCCTCTCCCCTCTTCTCTCTTGCATGACATTTCCATTAAAATAGAGGTCATAAATTTTTATCCTAAGTCATTTTTTTTATTACAATAGTATCTAAAAGTTACACAAATTTAAATTTTCTAAAACACAATTAGGTTTCACCAAAAAGTAATCATTATAATATATCACTGATTTTACCACTTCTGTGAGAAGATATAATAGTTTTGTCATTTGGTGTGAAAACACAGGTAGAAACCTGCTGGGATACAGATGTCTCATAGTATCTTTTTTTTACCTCCAATCCAAATATCCTGAAACTTCTTACATTGTATAGCCCCTAATTTTCCTCTTTTTTCCCTCATCTGAGTATGTTACCAGTTATTTAACAAAAATCTGATTTTTTGACATAGGCAAACTAGGGTATATGAGAGTGTAGGACTCCTAGCACTTTGAGTTATGGTAAATATGCCCTTTGAAACTTTATTTAACATTTATCATATTTAAATATTTACTGGTATCATTATTCATCTGTAGCTATGATGTTTTATTATTGAATCTGTAATTTCTTAGAATTTAAAGAAACATAAAAACAGATATGTTTCACCTTGATATTATACTAGTCTAGTTTAGTAAAAGCGAATTAGAAATGTCAGGAAAAAACAACAAAATTAATATAAAAATGGAGTAAAATTAGAAATAATCAAAGAGTGATGTTAAATATTGATGCTTAGTAAAGTTTTTCTCAAAAGTTAAGAAGAATGATTTCTGGAGATTCATATGATTTTTATAATGTTGTCTGGGTTCCACAAGAGTTATCTCAGAAAAGACATTAGGATCTGTGAGTGCTGACACATTACGATGGTATTTTGTTTTTCTAGTACATCTGTATACTTCCAAATACCAATATATCCAATGGAACTTTAGGACTTTTTTTTAGACAAGATTGGGCTTGTTCAGGGTGGTATGGCCATAGACGTGGTCTTTGTTTTTTAAAGAAAACTACAAGAAATTTAAAAAGTCAGATTAAGGAGGAATTTTGGCTGAAAAGGGGGAGGTTCTCCCCTTACTGGGCTTCACATTAATTCCTAGGTTCTAGATTTCTAGGAGGCAGTGAATGAAATGTTTAAAACTCGGAGGCGCAGACATTATTAGAAAGGTTTTCCCACAATGCCATTGATATTTTACTCAAGATTACAGAATAATAACTAGGACTTCTGAAGTTTTCTCGGCCTTCTTTTTGTTAAATCTTTCTCCCTGAACTGTTTCAAAGCTCACAGAACTGGATCTTCCCACCCCCAACTCCTCATCTTAGGGAGGAAAGACACACAGGGACAACCCAAGTTCAAGGTCTGTGGGCTCCATCTGGCCCTTGCTTCTCTCCCTCTCCACCTGACACTGAGGTGATCATTGGTGATAACTTCTGTTTGCAACCTTTTTGTTTTCATTTTGGGGGCACTGAGAAGCAAGCTTCATCTATTTCTAAGATAAGTGTTATCATGCAGAGTGAAAAAACAATAATGACATAGTCCAATTTATAAGGGCTCTGTCTTTTATTTCCTCTCCTTGGTACAACAAAATAAATGATTCCATGGAAATGAAGGGTCTTCATTGAACCTTCCTCTCTTAATGACAAGCTACCGCTCCACGTTCACTAGTAGAGGGGTTATAGTTACAAGCCATGAAATAAGCCACGAAACTGTGAAGCAGAATTGTTTAAGGACCCTCACAACATTATTGATTGGGAAGAAATAACTACAATATTCTTTAAGCCATTGGAAATCTCCATGCTTGTCCAAAGCAAAATGAGAAAGGGGGCTGATGTTCTTCAAGATCCATAATATCATTGAATTGGAGAAAAAAATATGACACAAAGTCTGCCAAGAATGGTGTTTGGATGCCTGCAAAGGCCCTGCTTGTGAACTTTAAATTAACTAATTTGTTTATTAAATTTGCCTTGTTGATTTTACATCTCTCTCTCCTTCATGTAATTATTATTCAAGATTAAGAGGATGTAGAAAGGAAGTAGGTTCCAACTCTCCGTGACTTGTTTCCAGGACTAAGAGTGATACTCATGGCCCTATTAAGTGTTCATATCTCTTTGGGAGCTGTTCCATTTCCCATAACCAATAAGATGGTGCTATGAATTAGGGATCTGAAGCCTTGATGTTGAAAGCCCCTACAGAGGCACCGAGAGCAAGACTGACTGGTTTAAATTAAGTTTCCCTTCTGCCTACCCCGACTGCTCACTAGGGATGTGGTTCAAATACAGCATACAGGACACCTTAAGGAAAAGCTTCATACTATATTTTTACAAAAATCTAACCAATAAGGTTCTAGGAGTCACAAACTGATACAGTAGAACAAGTCCACCAGTGCCTGGCAGCTATTTAGACTTTTCCAACAGTTGGTTGGAGGAGCAAAAGTTAAATGAGTCTGCGATTATCTCTGTGTCCTGTCCATCCACACCCAGGGGGCAGCACACATGCGGTTTGGTCCAGTCACTTGCCCAGCTGATTGTCACATGGGTAGTACACTTTTATCACTGCCTTGTAGAGTTGTTTTCATTTTAGATTCCATAGACGTAAGGGCCTGGAGCGAGGGGTTTCTGACAAAATACAACAGAAAATCAAGAGTTGGGCATAGAGCAATTATTAGATTAATGGGGGTTTTGAAAGCCACAGTGAAAAAGGAAAAACTTAGAACTGCTTACTTTCAAATAATTGCAGTATCAGAAATTATATCTCCCGTGTTCCAATTTAGCTTCAGATTTAGGAATTTCTACTTAATTGTCTACTTAATTTCTACTTAGACATAACTACTTTGTTTTATGCTTTGGTGCCTATGTGGTTAGCTTTAATCTGGCATCCCACTTGATTAAACAAAGTTTTCATTTTTTATTTGACCCTTTTTCATCCTTGTCTAGGTTTAATTAGTGAGTAATTATTAAATTACTCTCCAGGATGAGTATACTAAAATAATTAAATGCATCTCATTTGTAGCCATTGATTTAACTCTCCCAGTTTATACTTTCTCCAATGAGCCACCTTTTTAAACCAAGTCAGTAGGGCAGCTGCATGTTTCATTCCTGCCCCACAGGCTCACTCTCGCACACACACGAGTGTGCACACACACTCGCACACATGCACGCATGCACACTACCAATGAGGTCTCTACACCTTATTTTGTTTCCCCAGATCCCTTCTTGTTCAACATGACCTGCTAACTGCTCTCCTTGTTTCTGTGTGCAGGTCCTCCACTTCAATGCTGTCTCAGGACATGGAAACTCTTCTAACAGTCAGGTAAAGGCACTGTCTTCTTTTAGAAAAACAGACTGCAAGACTAAATTTAGAAAAATTCTTGCCTTGCTGATATATTGAATTGTGTGCTCTTTCCTTTAAAAACAAAGGAACATGTTTCATTCAGATTTCCATGTTGTGAGTATTTCAAGAATGATTTTTGATAATTTCTTTTTTAATTATTAATTTACCAATATTTTCCTTGTGTGTCAGCCAGATTTGGGCACGGTAGTGTGGAACTAAATATTTTACTTTTATCTTGGGTACTCACAGCCAACTTACATTGGTAAAATGAATTATTTAGTATACACCGTAGGCAAATTCATTATCTTCTGTCAATAATTTTATTCTAAGGCTAATCATGTACTTTAGTAAATCTTTTAATTAACTTTGATTACAGACACTTGTGAAAAAGAGTAAGAAACTGTTGATTTATGTGGCATTGTTTGTTGCTTCTATAGTGTTATTATTTTTCAATTCTTTTATAATATATGTTTTATTTTCTACATAAATAAGATTGTGCATATATTTGCAGTCCAAGAATACATTTTTATAAATCTTTTTAATAACAGCCAGGACTCCAACTTCAACTGAAAAGATTTCTCTATGATATAAACGCATTCCACAAAGATTATGAACTCAGCATGGCCAATGGTCTTTTTGCAGAAAAAGTGTTTGATATTCATGAGGTAAGTTCAGCCTCCTGTCTTAGAAGGTTATTTCCATTCTGGACCTGAGTCATGTTCAATCCAGCATCTGGATAAAGGCTTGCATCTTTCTACTGAGCCATACAAAGGTGATTTTTTTCTTGTCATTAGTAATTACATTCTCAGGTGTATTCAAAATATCATCACCAGTTTTTAAAGTACTACTTCACCTGAGTGATCCACATATTCAAGGTCACTAGACGGACAGGCTCCAAAACCAAAGAGACTTGTCCCCTGGCTGTGATGTGGAGCTGTCACTGGGGAGGGGAAAGCAGAGAGCCCACTTAGGGCTGTCCATGGGCAGGAGGGAAAAGTCTGTCCACTTTTCCTCTGAGCTTTGTGTCTCCTGGGGTAGTTTCATATCTCCAGTGTTGAATTTACCTTTTTTTTTTCAGCCATGCCCTTTCATTTCTCCTTGCAGCTCTGAATTACTTATCTTTTCAGTAAGACCATTTATAAAAAGAGTTCCTAGCAAGAGACATAGCCAGAGGAGGCCAGCCATTGGCAGAGGAGCAGCTCAGACTGGACACAGAGGTGGGGAGTAGGTTCTCTTGAGGTCAGCAGCCTAAATTTCAGCCTTACTATATGCTGTTTTAAGATCAATTCATTTATCATAGTACCATGTTCATCCAGAGATCAGCAGACCAGAATGCACTCTGTATGTTGCTACGTTCAACACATGCGTTAGAGCCACCCTCGCCGTGACAACCAGCAACTGGTTAGTGCAATGCAAGCAGACACAGTGGCCATGATTCTCTGGGCGCGTTTGCTCTCCCTTTTAATTCTCCAGTTCTGAGACAACTATTCTGTGACATCTCTGGACTCATCCCTGCTTGTATCCTCCCTGCTCTCTGAGTTCCACCCAGCCATTACTGTCTCCTCTGTCTGTCACCCACTCACATTCTTTGCCCCTTCCCACACCACACCCAAGTCCTTTGGCAGTCTGCCAATTATGAAACATTAGAGCTCTTTGTTTTTTTATCTTCTCCAAAGAATCCTAGACAAGTGTTACAGGGGCTACCCTGTATGTTTGGCTCCACATTTTGTGTCTTTATTCCCACACATACCGCTGTGTCTCTGAGGGCTGTCAGCTCTCTTAAATTGAAAGCTGATATGTCTGTCATGCTACTAATTAAGGCAGACTTGCGTGGTCCCTTTTCTGGTCCTTGGTGAGTGTACAGAGCAATGCACCTGAAGCACAGTAAAGGTGACAGTTGGCCAAGAACTTGGAAAATGGAGACAAAATCAGCTCATTGTTTATCAACGTGAAGATGATTACCAGTGAGGCTTATAGAGCACTTGGTTATTACAAATCAAAAGCCACGTACTTTATCTTCATTAAACGTATAGGTAAGCATGTAGAATTCACCCAGGCATTTTTACTTTAAGGAGTGCTCCTCTCGCTACAACTTGAGGACCATCAGATATTTTCAAAAATGAGAGATGAGGAGCAGTGTAAGCCTCATGATACCATAATGGAACTTTGATTCATGAAAGCTATTTATATTTTATTTTATTTTAAAAAAGAGAACACTTTTTTCTTGGTCACGGGATGGGGACCTCTCAGTGAGCCCCCTCTGCTTACAGTGACACACATAGTCAAAAATCTTTAATTCAACAACTCAACCAGGTGACTGTGACCTTGCAGACTCCAGAGAGGAAGAGTGTCACGCAGACCACTGACAGCGGGGGACAGTCCCTGATGGGGAGAAGAAAGCAGCGTGGCCTACAGAAAGACAAGAGCTGTCAGAGGGACACTCTTTCCAACCTGCAGCCCTGTAATCCTCAATGTAGTCAGGAGGCCTCCTAAACGACCGAACCACAGAGCCACTGTTTTAAAGGCCTTCAGGTGGAATCAAGAGAGTGCCAGGTGGAGAGTCAGGCTTATCTGAGTCCTAACTCTGTCACTTTATTGCTCTTTGGTCGTCAGTTGATATGTTCAAACCTCAGTTTCCTTGTTGATAAAAATGAGAGAATTATACTAAATAGTCTCTGTGGCTCTCAACTTCTATTTTTAATTTGTAATTTTGAATCTTCGATATGCGTTGAAAATGGAAAGTATACGTCGTATTGCTGTGGCACCTCCAGTTGAAGTGGCACTGATGTACCATCTTCTATCAATAGTCCACAACCAGTTCCTGAGTGCGGACCAAGAGCCAAGAACCATGACCTGTAGAAGATATGGTAGGGAGACGCAGATGACTGTGGGACTCAACACTGAGTTAACATTTTAAAATCAACACAAGTAATTCACTGCAGTGGGAGATTAAAGGGGAAAGCACTTAATTTCAATTCAAAAGATGCAGAAAACAAAATTTTCACAATCTAGAAAGGGAATTTTATTTTTTTTAAAGAATTTATTTATTTAGTTTTAGAGAGAGGGCAAGGGAAGGAGAAAGAGAGGGACAGAAACATCAATGTGGGACAGAAACATCAATTGGTTGCCTCTCATACATGCCCCCACCGGGGACTGAACTTGTAAGCCAGGCCTGTGCCCTGACCAGCAATTGAACTTGCAACCTTTCACTTTGTGGGATGACGCCCAACCAACTGAGCCACACGGGTCAGAGCTAGAAAGGGAATTTTCTACATAAAATATTCTTGGTAAAATGCCAGATGTTTCTGCCCTAAAACAAGGAACAAGATGAGGATGTTTTCTGGAACATTGCCATGAATGTTTTGCTGAAGTCATAACCAATACAAACATTTAACTGGAGGTCACAGGCAGGAAGAAAAAGAAGTAAAATGGATTTGAATTGGGAAGGAGGAAATAAAATCATCATTGTTCACAGATAACAGCTGTGTATGTAGAAAATCTAAAAGATTTTAAGAATCAGTTATTAGATTAAATAGTGAATTTATCAGGGTGAGCCTATAAACTATTTGTATTTCTATGCTTTATTCATAATTAAAAATAAAATTAAAAATAATAACATCTACAGTGACATTAAAACATCAAGTACCTGGGAATAAATCTAATGAAAGATGTCCACAAAACAAAAAAGCTGTGAAGAGAAAGAAGAATTTAAAAACAAAGGGTAGATTTTGTTTATGGATAGAACACAATCTTATAAAGATGTCTATTTATTTATAGATTCAAAATAATTGATTTAGGAGAAATTGATGAGCTAACTTTAAAATTTACATAGAAATGCGAAGAAGTAAGAAAAGTTAATTGTGAAGAAAAGGAAAAAAACTCAGAAGGCTTATATTACTGAAAATTAAGGCTTAAAAGCTACAATAATGAAGATTGGTGGCATTTTTGCAAAGATAGACAATAAGTCAGTGGAACACAGTGGAGAATTGTGAAGGAGACATACTCAGAGGCACTTGACACATGATGAATGTCTCTGCAGAGCAACATGGAAGGGACAATGTTCGTAATAAATGGCATTGATTCAACTGGCTATCCATAGAGAACTTTTGTTGATACCTATCTGTATACAAAAAACAATCAGTTCCAGATGGCTCTCAGATACACATGTGAATGGTGAAACAACAATGTGTTTAGAAGACAAATATTATTCTTAAGACCTTGGATAAGCAAAGATTTTTAAAAATCTCTCTTTTAGGGTATATAAAGCACTAATCCTATAGGATAAAGAAGACAGGATAGATGGCATTACAATTAAGAATTTATTTTCATTGAAGGATATCATGAAGAGAGTATAAAGGTAAACCACAGTGGCTGAACATATTTGCAATACAGAGAAGCCGCAAAACACTGATCTCCAAAACCAGAAACTCCTATAAGACAATAAGGAAAACACAAACAGTCCAGTAGAAAATCTTGAACTGACATTTTACAAAAGAACACCTTTGAAAGGCCAATAAACATATGGACCAACAATCAGTCTCAATAGTTTCATTCCTTGTCTTTCGTGTTTCATGTATCTTTTTGAGGGACATAAGCACCAGCACTTGATGGAGATCAGCAAACCCGACTAGCTGGGCTAAACAAAAATTATATGTATCACACACACACACACACACACACACACACACACACACACACATACACACACAAATTCTTGGTGGCCCAAAGCTCTTCTAGAATTCTCTGGAAGTGCTGACACCCTGCACTCATCAACTTCTCTGGCCAGGGACTGGTTCTTAGTACTCTTTGTAGCCAGTGTCAGAGTAGATGGATGGGTCGATGGATGGATGGATGGATGGATGGATGGATGGATGAATCAGGAGATGAAAAGAGCCTTATTTATGGAAACTACACAGAAAGCCTTGTTTATAGAGGTAATGTCATCCTGCGGACAGAGTGTGGATAACTAACCAATCCTCAGTATTAGGGTTGAACATCCTACAAAATTTCTCAGGATATCCCTTGACAATACATATGAGGGTATGATTTGCAATGACTCTTATTTTCCCCAATTATGAAAATATTTCCCTCAAAATGTATATGTGTGTATTTGTTGTACTACTGGTATATTGCCAAATGAGCTTGTTATGGTATCTTTTTATTAAAAACAATAAATACTCTTGAACGCCTACTGTGTGCAAGGCAATGTGCCAGGGGCTGGGAATACAATGGGCTCGATTTCACTGAATTTACTGTTTTGTGAGAGGCTCAAGAAATCTCCCATGTTAGTAAGATGCAGTGTGATAACAGCTGATCAGAAAATGAAGCGAAGGATTAGTGGAGGACACAGGAGGGGCCCCGGGAAGCCTTCTCTCAAGGAGAGACATCTATGCTTGGCACTAGAAAATGAGTAAGACAGAAATATGGGGCACAATGGGGCACTGCCGGCGGGATGAATGCTGTGCAATGGCCTCCGGGAGGTGGGACACACGAAACTTTGGAGGAGCTCCCTGCAGTCGGCTCCGGCTGCGGAGCAGAGCACAACGGGGGTGGTGGCCAGAAATGCGGGGAGAGCGGTGCAGACCCGCAGAGCCTCACAGGCCGGGCCTGGGGTTTGGGTGTTACTGTGAGGACGGGGAGCAGCCTTGGCAAGTGTTCAGTAGGAAGCGATGACATAAACAAGGGACACAAATTTGGAGGCCTGTGAAATATTTATGGTGAGAAAGCAGCAGTAAAGGCAAGGGGGTGGGCATTAGCCATGGCCCCTATTAGTCTGCCCCAGTCCATTTCAGACAAACTTAAATTTAACAGGGTGCTCGCGTTGTCCTGCTTTGCCACTAGCCGGTTCCCTATTTCTAGTTGTATTTCCCTCGCTTTTGGGGCAGGAATGAATCCTCATGTAAAGTGGTGAAAATAAAGAGGCAAATTCAAGAATATATTTTTTATATGCTTCATTGGTGGTGATTTGTAAATATAAGAACTGCATGTTCCTTATAGAACTGTATATTATTTGTATTTATAGGGATTTATTAAGTGCGCTGAAAAATTATACAAGGCCAAAGTGGAACGTGTTGACTTCACAAATGCTGTACAAGACAGCAGATATAAGATTAATAAGTGGGTTGAAGATGAGACACATGGTGAGTGCAATGCTCGATTTTTCTACGAGATTTGTCAGTTATTTGTGAGTACTGGGAACTGTCAACGTTCTAGTTAGGAGTCTTTTGCACATAGAAGGAACCAAAATAATGATCCAAAATCATCCAAAATAATGACTGTTGTTTTTTTAAAATTGTTTTAAAATCTGTCTGCAATGCGGTGGTGAGCAATCCTAATAATTTGAATGCTTTATACTCTTAAGAAGTCTTGGCTATTATGTTTTCTCGTTTGATTGGGAAATAATCTTGTGAGACAAATAGGTTTTATTGTGGCCATTTCATAAATTAGTGATAAGGTAATTTACTCCATTATCCTCAATATCTTATACCTGGTTAGTGAACCAGTCTAAGAGTAGTTTGCAGGACATTGTTTTTAATGACCACAACATATTTCACTCTAATAACCAATCTAGCATCTTACTGCTCCTTCTTGGACTGGAGGATCTTATTAAAATTATGACCTCCTACTGTCTAAAAAATATATTTCATGTGATTGCTTTTTCTAAGGATGCATACTTTGTCTTTAATTTAAAAATTATTTTTATTTATCAAAATAGTATATGTAGCACAGATAGTACCTTCAAGAAAAAGAGCATCTTTTTTTTGGTCTCTTTCACAACTTAACACTGAGTCACAACTAATGTCCTGTGCAAAGCAAATAAGGAGATCTGTTCCTTGCCTTTTTGTTCATCGACTGACTCCAAAGCTAGCTATTTCTTTACCTAAGGCTTGGCTTTGTTTGATAATCTGACCAATATACATGTATTTGCTGAGTCTGGCTCTGTGATAGAAATATGAGATGTGATTTATACTGTTAAATGCAAACATTCAGCAGCATACAATTGGTCCTGGGAGGAAGAATACATTGTCTCAATTTTCTTCTTGTTCCTTAATTCATCATTACATCAGTTGAGGGTTACTTTGGCCATTAGCGCCATACTTCCTAAATATCTACTATTCATGCATCAGGAAAAACTATGACATTACTTTTCTAATAACTGAGTGGGCTTCTATTTGCTCTTTAGTATCTAAAGGTATCAGATTACCAATACTTTTCTCCATCTGGGCCATTTATTTCTGTTCCTTCTTTTTCCATGCAAATATATATGTATATATAGAATTGCTCTCATTTTGATAAGCATGTGTACTCAGTACTCATTTGGGGAAACATTTCAAATGCTGCCAATATTGCCAAAGACCCACTTAGGTCTTATCGCCACCCCCCCCCTCCCCCACACACACTACCAGAGCCATCCTCTTGAAATACAAATCTGATATGTCATTACCATGCCCTTTCTTGTCTTCCAAAGAATCATGAACAATAGCCACTGTCCTTAGGATAATCCAAAATTTTCACCAGACATTGAAGGCTCTTCATTACCTGGCCCCTGACTCCACTGTCTCCAGCTTTACTCTCCCTATAACGTCAGGGTTTCCACAGGTCCATTTCACTCTTTCCGGTCAGCTCAGCAGGTGGCCCTGCTGGAGAGGGTACCTCTGGCCCCATCCCACCACACACTGAGCCTGCACGTGTAGCAGCTGCATGTGGAGTGTGCACGCAAGGATGGCGTGGACTGTGTCTTTCACTGGCGTGATTCAAGTGCCAAGACTATGTAGTGCAAGTCATTTAGGAAAAATCTCATGACTGTGGAATGAAAGAAAGAATTAGCTCTTTCAGCGGGATGAAGTGCTGTGTCTCATCCACGAAATAAAGGCCGCCTGGTGCCTGTGAACAGGGAGAGGGTCAGGGAATTGTCTCCTGGGTGGGAATCCTCTTGCGAGGACTTCTTGTTGTGGGACTTCGTACAAATCACTTACCCTCTCCCTGCCCAGTTTGACAGAAAGAGGAGAAACAATTATGGTGCCTACTTCACAGGGATTTTGTGAGGCAGAAACAAAATATTGCACATAAAGCATTTAAAAAATGTTGGACAGAGTCATTGGTTGTAGATTGCTATGACTATGATAATTATTTATAATTCCATGACAAGAAAAGTATGCTTATCCCATCTTAATTTTTTTTTAAATTTACATTAAAAACTTAACTTTTTTTTCTCAATTTATTTCTCAAAAGGCAAGATCAAGAACGTCATTCACGAAGAAAGCTTCAGCACGTCTGCGGTGATGGTGCTGGTAAATGCCGTGTACTTCAAAGGCCAGTGGGAGTCAGCCTTCATAAAGAGTGACACCATGCATTGCCCTTTCAAGTCTCCCAAGGTATGGGACTCGATTTCATGCAGGGTATTTTTTTTGCCAATAGTATTTCTTCACAGCAGTTGTGGTATTTATGTAGACAAATGCTGGGTTCACCCACATTTTCCTCATTTTTCTGCTGCATTAACAATAACACAATGTGCAGGAGTATCCAACCTGTGGCCTGTGGGCGGCATGCAGCCCTGGATGGCTATGAATGCGGCCCAACACAAAATTGTACTTTCCTTAAAACATTATGAGATTTCTTTGTGGTTACATGTTGCAATGTATTTAATGTGTGGCCCAGGACGGCTCTTCCTCCAGCGTGGCCCAGAGACGCCGAAAGCCCAGACATCCCTGTCACGGTCCAGTGCTTGAAAAATAAGCTTTCTATTTTCCTGCTGATGCAGATTATGGAAAACATACTCGTGGAGGTGTCCTGTGAACTGATATTTCTTAAAATATATTTGAAATTGAGAAAAGTAATAACATGAATTTATTCAAAGATAGTCCGGTAGGGGGGCCTTTAGGAAGAAAATATGACAAAAGCATAAGTTTTATTTATCGTGATGCTCACTGCGGGGGGCACAGTTAGAGTCATTTACGATTCATGATTTTTTCTGAGTTAAAGCAAATACATGTTTTCTTTTACAAAACATGAAATTATGTTTACTAGAGTTATGCATTTCCAAGTATTGGTTATATCCATTTCATCATTTAATTCTCTTGGATTTAAAACAACCTTCATGAAGTACATATTTTTTTAACCAATTTGTACATAATAATTTTTAGCATAGTAGAAACTAAAAAGGCCTTGGAGTCAGAAATACCACGTCGGGGTTCTCGGGGGAAAGAGGAGGATGGACCAAGTCAAGGACTGCGTATAAAGGACCCATGGACAAAGGCCAAAGGGAGGAGGATTGTGGCTGGAGGGTGGGGAGTGGGAGCGGCAGGGGCGAGCAGTGCGGGGAAACGGGGACAGCGCAACTGAACAGCAACGGAAATAGAAGAAGCTGCCTTGTCTTCCGCACATTGACTTACCCACTGGAGACCTCACAAGTGGAGCAAAGGGACTCCATTAATTCTCTTCTGGTACATCTATCCATCCCTCAGTCTATTATGCTGCGGTAAAGTTCAGCTTTAACTTTACACTTAGTCTTATCTTTCAAGTAGAAAATGCTACTGAAATGCTCTTTCTGCACTGTCCCACCTCGGAAGGATACGACACAGGGGTGCTGTGGGCCGGGAGGAAGGAAAGGTCCCTGGACGAGTGAGGAGGCGGGGCGTAAAAGGCCACCCAGGTAGGCTGGAACCACAGGTGTGGCAGGAGGAAGGCATTTGGGAGGTGTCTGAGAGGAAGGAGCGGAGGACTTGAGCGCAGAGCAGACAGGGACCAGGGTGGCCCCCAGGCTGGCTCTGGTGATGGCCCCTCCCTGCACCTCCTTGCACAGACTGCAGCCTCGAGTCCCTGACGACAGCGGGGTGTGAAGGGTGAGTTCGCAGTGCAGGAGGCTCTGTGGGAGTAAAGAGAGGTGCACAGAAATGTTTTTAAATTTGTATGTGAAAAACGGTAATATAATAAATCCTAATAAAATGCAGCTCTGTTCTTAGAGACATTATCTGTGTAATTGCAACAGGAAGGACATTAGGATTTTGAATTGGGATTTTAGGGATGGGGCTGGCGTTGTTAACAGAGTAGGCTGCATTGTGCATTCATTTCCTTCAGTGAAGACATGGCGTGACTGTCCCCTGCCGTGTTTGTAATAACTGTATGAAATAATCTTCTTGCCTGTCTTCCGTCCCTTCTGATACAGGTGTAGTGCAGAGCTTCTAATTGACTGTGTACTCTGTATCACTGATGTCGGTTTTGGGGAAATGACCTCTTTGCCAAGAAGCCTTGTTTCAGCCTTTCTCCAGCGAAACTCTGCTGTGCGGCTCTTGTCCCGTGCGGAATTGCAATACTGTGGCTAGGACGTGCCAGCCTGCATTTGCACCAGGCTCACTTGGACTGATCTGTGTCTCTAGGCATTTTCCCCCACAACTGCTCCAGCTGTGTCCTTTCTGAGATTCAAACTCTCAGTCAAAAAGGAAATCCTTTCCAGAGGGGGAAGCCCTTTGGCTCCAGCACAGACAACGATCTGCCTTCCTGCTGCAGAACTTTCTGTGCTAAAGGGAGGGATGACAGGCAAGGTGACAAGCGTTCAGAGTCGCAGGATCGTTTAGGAAAAGGATGGATTATTACACCTCCATGGTGTTTCCACATCTACAGATCATATCCTCAAGGTGGGAGCTGCTGTGTTTCCTCCAAGTTACCTTGAGCAATAGTGTCAGGCATTTTACAGGAATTAAAAATCTTTCTGTAAGACTTTATTTTTAAATTGTGTGATTTTGATAGTACTATCTATAGTTTACTTCTGATGAGAGAAAAAACTATAGCATTAATTTTTAATTGTAATGGTATTGAATAGTTATTTATTATTTATTATGTAGATATTTTCAGATAAAACACTCAGTACCGGGTAATGTCCTAAGTCCTGGATATAATATTAACTCTCATAATCCTTGCAATAATCTGTGCAGTAGAGGCTGTCGTTACACTCAGTGTATAGATGGGACATGGAGGCACAGAGAGGTGAAGTGACTTGCCCAAGGTCACACAGCTGGCAGTCAAAGTCTGTGCTGTCACCACTGAGATGTGCACCAACCCAACCACCATCGGTAACGTGTCAGGAAAAACCTATTGGACCAACTGGACAGAAACTGGAGTCATTCTTCTTTTTGTCCCACTCAGTAAGTGGAACAAGGTGGGCTCATTAAAATGTTTTTGTGACTTGCCTTCCAGTGTTCTAGGAAAACAGTCGCCATGATGTATCAAGAGCGGATGTTCAATTTGTCCGTCATTCAGGACCCGTATATGCAAGTCCTTGAACTCAGATATCATGGGGGCATAAGTATGTATGTAATGCTGCCTGAGAGTGACCTCTCCCAGGTAAGCTGCCACTCCCGCTTTCGCTGGTGGGGATGACTTTTAGGGTACTGTTAGCTGTGTGTTCATCCATCAGCTTGAAGATTTCACGTTGTTGGAATATTAGAGACTGACCCGCTTATTTGTTTATTTGACAAATATTTAAGGAGTACCTACTGGGTGCCAGGCATTGTTACAGGTGTTGGGATTGCCTTACCCTGGATTAACATAATTTTATTTAAATAGTTGGAAAATCGCAAATCTCAGCTATGGAGGAGAAAGGGCATGAGTTTTTGTCTTCTTTGCTTTTGGCCATGAAAACTGTCTCTTTCGTGTCTATTGAAATTTTGACAGACTAAGAATTTTCAGGCAGGAATGATGTGATGGAGTTTTGAGGTCCTCGCCCTTTGAGAATTAAAATGTGTGCTCTCACTCAGCACCGCTGTGTCTCTACCAAAAGCAGAGGTTAGGGACGGCCTTGTGACCGATGAAGCAACAGCAATCGACCAGCACAGTGCAAGCGGCAGGCAGCGGTGGCCATGTGAGCCAGGCATCACTGCTGTATCTCAGGTCCCCATATTCTTTCAGCCCTTCATCCTCTCCTCCTCGTCAGGAGTTCGGCCCCCTCCGTCTGCAGCTTGCAATCCCAAAACCTAGGTCTCATCTTCTTTCTTTGTGCTTCCTATCAAAAGGGCTACTTATTTTGCACCTACTATGTGCCAAGTGCTTCATTTATATCACCTTGTTTGGAATGAACAGCAAGTGAAATGTCATAAAGCTGGCATTTTAAAATTAAAAGTGTGACAATATAAAATGTTGGTACTCTCTTTAAATAATTCACTTGGCAATCTTCATACCAATGAGATTGTAGCACACATCAATTATTTTAACTTCAAACAATCTGTAATAATAAAAAAAGGTAGCTTAGATAAAACAAGCAGTAGGTAAGTCAAAAGATAGATTTGTCTTTGTACTTATTGCCTAAGTTGTCTTTTTCTATAATAGGTTGCCTACTGTGTGGATCAGATTAGCATGCATGTACTTGTCAACATAATCCTGTATTACTAAATAATGTTGAGGAAGTTGGCTTTGCAGTGGGCCAAATGAGAAAAAATTCTAACTCAGAATAAAAAAGTTAAGACAGATTAACTTCAAAATGGATAATTTACACACAGAGAATTTGAATAAGCCTATATTTGATTACATAAATTCGGATTCTTGATCAGAATACAGATAAGGTTGAATAGCTATGAAAATCTTTTTAGGATTCCAGTGAACTTGAATTTGAGAGCAAATGCCCATACATAAGACCTGCAGACAATGTGCATGAAAAAAACCTTGCCATTATAAGCCTGGAAAAATCTATGACTAATTCTCAGGAGTTGGTGGATTTAATATGTGAATCATTGAACAGCAGATGTTGTTGGAAAGAAACATAGGCTCCTAGCTATGTAACTAAGTCTTCTAGCTGCGCCCCTTGGGCAAGTCTCCCGACATTCTCTGGAGTTTCAGCAGTCCCATGTGTTGAGTAGGAGAGTCCATTTGGATCCAAGGCTCCCTGATAGTGTAGGGGACTGTGCTGGGAGATGTCGATCATCGAGGTCCTTGAGGCTAGAGCTCCGCGTTCCTTGCCTCAGGTCACTTGGGGTTTGTTCCATTGGTTACTCCTGTGAGGTACTCAAACAAGATCATTTTTTGTCTTTCTTGATGAGGAAATGGTCAGGTAACACTGATTTAAATGACTACTGAGCTTCTCTTTTTCTGTTGCATAATATTCCATATGGTACATGTATAAATGTACCACAGTTTTTTGATCCACTCATTTACTGATGGGCCCTTAGGCTGTAACTGAACAACAATTAAAAAAAAGGAAAAATAATAAACAACTACTGAGCTCTTTTCTCCCTCTGATGATCTCTGATTCCCAAATTCTATATATGTTCTTATGTGGGCAGAGAACAGAAATGCCCTGGAATACAATTATACAATTAAATCATAGCTTGTCATAGCAGAACAAATTAAACATGTGATTCATTAAAGAATGCTTGAACTGTCCATTTTCCTCATTTCCCCTTTCCAAACCCTCTGGGACCCATTCACATATTTACACTTAAATACAGTATCCAGGAGAGGGTAATTATGAAAAACCATATCTTTGTAGTTGTTGTTTCATTTGTTTCTTAACCACATGGCTCTAAATTGCCTTTTACATGTTCTTACAGATTGAAAACCAACTGACTTTTAGGAATCTAATGAAATGGACCGATCCAAGAAAAATGAGCCCCCAGTATGTCAAGGTGTTTCTTCCTCAGTTCAAGATAGAGAAGGACTATGAAATCAAAGGCTACTTAAAAGCCCTAGGGCTGAAAGATATCTTTGAGGAATCCCGAGCTGACTTCTCTGGCATAGCTTCAGGAGGTCGCCTGTATCTGTCAAAACTGATGCACAAGTCCCACATTGAGGTGAATGAGGATGGTACAGAGGCGGCGGTTGTCTCAGGAAACAACATCGTAGAAAAGTTCCTCCCCGAGTCTACAGTGTTCCGGGCGGATCACCCCTTCTTATTTGTCATCAGGAAGAATGATGTCATCTTGTTTAGTGGCAAAGTCTCTTGCCCTTGACGATCCAATTGGTTGCTATTATGATAGTCCCACCAACATCAAGGAACTGCCACCAGTGAATAGATATAGTTTAATGGGAAGCATGAGGTGTTTCCTTTAGGTTACTTTCTTCTAATGTTGGTCAGCAGATGATTTTGGTGACTGAACCCTTCTCAGACACCTGGTTGATTATCCCAATCTTGCTTTTAGCATTTCTACCACCATCTGCCTCACCTATTTATAGTTTCATTGTCTTTCTGCCCACACTCGTGTCTACCAGTCTGCCCCTTAGTCACTTGCGCACAGGTCTGGGCATGGCACCTGGGCTTGGCGGACATGGGCTCCACTGGTAATGACAACAGCGAAGCAGCCCTGAGATCTTTTCTGAAACTCCATAGGTGTCACTGACAGTCTAGTCTTTACTGGAAATGGTCTAGAAAGTAAGCCCAGCTGCCAGAAATGAAGGTGAGGGATGACTTCTCCTTGCTGGTCTAAGAAGACATTCAAGTTGACTTTGACACTGATGTGGACTCAGTCTCTAAATGAGAAAAAAAAAAAAAATAGGGACTTGGGATTGGGGCCAACCAAAATATTTTGTTAATAACTTCAAGTGAGTGAGTGTCTTTCGGCTTTTCCTTGATGGAGACTTAATATGTACATAGTTTTTTTTCAAATATTAAATACCTTTTAACTGTTGCAGTTGTTATTTACAGTATGTTATTTCATATGCTGTGTAGTTTACATGTGTTTCTTTATTTATCAGAATAAAGAAATACAGCATAACTGTGCGGTGTGATTGCTCTCCGATGACCAATGGGGAGACTGACAGCACTTGTGTTTTCTAGGGCAAGCAAGCAAGCAATGAAAAAGAAAGAATGCTTTCCAAATATAAACCTGATTTTGTTAAATATTGTTCATTTATGATACATGGAAGTTACTTTTACAGCTGATTACATGGGCTCATTTTAAATACTAAAATTTCAATTCCTAAGAGGGAAAGATTAGCATACATGAATATTTATGGTAAGTCGCAGGTAGCTTTACAGAGCAGATTAGAAATAAATTGAGAATCAGTAGGCCATACTGAACTTCCTAAAAGCGTAAGGTACTGCTCTGTGGTGCTCAGTGCGAGACCTGGCAGGTACTCAACTTTCAACAAATATGGTGGAACCTGTGAATATGCATGAAAGAGTGAATGTGAGACATAATTTAAAAGCTATAGAGGAGCTGCAGACTAAAATAATTTGGTCACCGACCTGCCACCCTTTAAATGACTATGTCTTTCAGAGATCTTCACAGGTATTTTTGAGGGGAGCAGCGGGGAGAAACTGTTCTTTCTGATTAACTCCATTCCAACCTATTGCCATTCAAAAATAACATACTCCTAGACTCTGTCTTTAGGAGGATGTCAGTTCCCCCATTTGTAGGACTAATTAGGGGACCCGATGGTTTTCTTCTCAAGTCTTTCTCTTCTTATTTAAGTTAAATCCATAATCCCTACAAAGGGGGAGGAAAGACAAACATTATTGGATAATTTTCTTTTTTAGAGGCTTCGTTTTCATTATCATATTGAACACCCCCAATAACCTTGTCAGGTCTCTGCTAGGGTTCCTAGTCTATAATTAGGTTCATAGAAGTCAAATAAGTTACTCAGGTGTATAACAAAAGGCAAAGTTCATGTGAAAACTCAAGTTTGTCTGATTTAAAAGCTCTCTGTTAAAAAGACCCATGAAAGGCTATTTCAACTAACTGTCCTTCAGCCGGACAAACCTGTTTTTTTGGATGCGGTGGACCCAATTAGAAAAATCTGGCATAGCCAGAGGAAGGTTTTGGGCTGTAGGGCGACCGTATGAATTACCCAGAGGGGTAGTCTTCCTAGACAGCTGAGCAAAGGAGGAAAAACCAGTCGGCCAAGTGCCTCACACACTGAGAACGAGGTCCTGACCTGGACATTTACTTCCATTTTCTTGTGAACTCGAACCCCATCTCAGCCCTAGTTTTTGCCTACCCCCCCTCCAGTCTTAATTATATGATAGCAGGCAATAGAAATATGCTGATGTCTTACAGAATTTGGCTTTATGAAGAGAGCGATAGCTTTCCAAGCAAGTGGCAACATTTCTATAAAACGTGAACCACCCTGCCCGTAAAATTATTCAAACTTGCTCTCTTCTGTGTAGGACTTCTTCAGGCTGCTTTATTGGAACCACACCCTTCAGCCTGGAGACATTGCAGCTGGGTCTCCGGAGGCTAGCAAGACATTCTATAAATTAAGTCAACAGCAGAAGGAATGACAGCTTTTCTATTTATATTATCACTCAGAACCAGCAATTACAAGTGTTTCTTTGCAGATGCTCACCTCACCATATAGAGTCTCCTTCCCTTTTTAGAACATCAGGGCAAACAAGGCATTTTCCTAAGGTGACTTGACCTTCTAAGACTGAGATACTCCATTAACGCGAACAGTAGACTAGCGGGGGGTGGAGGGGGCAGTGAAATTTCACTCTAATTCCAGTAACTTAATGGAAGCCCCTTAAAGCCTCTGTAGTGCAATATAAGGTAACAGAACAGCCACCCAAATGTAGACTTTCAGCCTCTGGTATCCAAAACCCTGACCAGGTATTCCAAGCAGGGTCAGGAGTAAGGTGATACAAGCAAAGCTCCAAAGGGAGCAAAACTTAAGGGGGCACTAATTCTCAGGTGTTAGTCAATGTGTATATGACTCTGAGCGCAACTGCCTCCTTCAATTTTGCTCTGCGGGTGGCTCATTCTTCAGGAGGTGCCCACTCTCAGGTTCAGGGTTGTAGACCACGGAGTTGATTCTTTAAAGTGAGAGCTCCCTTCAATGTTACACCCTAGGGTGTTCCCTCATCCTAGTCCCAGAGTGAATCTCTAGAGGCCACCAACTCCAGGGGGTTCTTCCAAGTAGCCCCTTGTGGGAAGGGAGATGCAGGATGTGAGTCTACAGTAACGGGGGTCCCACAGCCTGCCTGCCTGCACTAAGCGGCAGGCTGAAGCAGAAATGCTGTTTCCCTATGATCCTCTAACCTCATTATTCCCCCAGACAGAGCCCAGGGCAAGGGTGGATTAGTACATGAAATAAGGAAGGAAGGAAGTCAGGAATGACTGACTACTCCTTCTTCCTTGAACACCCTGTGACTTGGTGTGGCTCCTTTGGAGAGGCTCCTGAACCCTGCATGACTGTGGACAGCCCCCTGCAGGCCCCAGGCCCAGGGGGGCTCTGCCAGCCTCACAGACCCCAGAACAGGAAGCTCTGTCTCTCCTTGATAGGTATTTGAGGATGGTTTTATAGAAGAAAGTGGGATAAAATTCTGTAGGACTCTAACGTGCTTAGTTATATTTCTCTTCCTCTTAAAAAATATATTAAGTAATGCTCTCCATTATATATGTTGATGGCACTGCCAGTCCGTGGGGCAGATGTGCCTTGGAGATGTCTCTGCAATGGTGGGAATGGGCTTCGGCCACTGTGTCCTTATTCTCTCGCTCAGTCAGTTCCTTTGTGTATTTTTGAAAGACTCAGAGAGGACATGTGTCTATTGGGATTAAAACTATAATCTTGTACTTTTTGTCATTATCTAACCCAGTGGACTATTCTAAGTTAACAAGAACAACAACAAAATCCCAACAATAATGACGGTATTCACTGACACATTTGATCGCCTACTCTATGCAGGCACAGCTCAAACAAGTATTTACATGCATTATGTAATTTGATGCTCGCCCTAGTCCCGTAAGGAAGCTCTTACTTAGCAGCCTTTGCAGAATAGAAAACAGAGACTAGGAAAGCTTAAATAATTGGTCCATGGTCATAAATCTAGAATGTGACAGATTTGGAACACTTGCAAAATCTGTGTTCTTGTTGCTTCCCTAACGCCTCATTTTGGCCATTTTAGATTTTACAAAATAAAGAGATGTAGCTCTTTTCCTGCTTTGAAATAAGCTGTTAAATGGTGGTATTTTGACTTACGTTTTCGTTGTTGTTGATAGCCCTTGTGTTCCAGAGCCCCCCAAAAGAAGTAGGCTCACTTAGTGCAGCAAATGCACCGTTCTGTTTTGATGTCTTTAAAGAGATTAGCTCTGACCACGTGGGTGAGTGTGTCTCCTCTTTGTCGCGTCTCCCGTCCGCCCTGGCTGTGGGGCTCTTCGGGGCTGGTGGTGGCCGTGCATCCCAGATGGAAAAAGTAAGTCAAACACTTGTAATTGTACCTGGAAGACAATCAAGTAATGGTTTCAAACCCATCTGGTTTTGGAGATTTCATAGACACCCTACTCTAGAAATAAGAGAGAATATCCACATTCACTTAAGGTTACCTATCACATTGGCTCTTTCAAAAATGGGTGCTGGTTAGTGCACCTCCTTCAGAGGGACCTGGACGTGTGCACTTCAGAGAGACCAAACCAAAGCTGCGTCTTTCAGGTCAGATGAGGTAGTCTCATGATTTAATTTGTTTTTCTCTTAAAGGTAATCCTCAAAGTTTATTCCCTAAATATATGTTAAATTATTTCTGGATTTGGGTAGGAGAGTTAATTTCCAAGTGACTATCCTTACATACTCAATAAAGTGCAAGGTTATATTTACAAGAATTTTTTTAAAAAAATTATTAAACCTTCAAACAAAATTCTTCACAGAACTTTTATCCTATTTTGAAAATAGATGTGTTGTTTTCTTAGCTCTCTAGTTGTAAAGTGAAAGACTGATGTAAAATACAGACCTTGAAAAGCTTTCACAGTAGGTATAGACTGTGGGCTCGGCTTAATTCCCTATGAGGCCATTTACTTGTTGCAAACTGGAAATGAAGTCAGGTGGTGGGGAAGAACTAATAAGCGTTCCTGGAATTAAGAGGCAGGTCATGAAACTAATGTAATATTGGGTGTCAACTGTAGTTGAAAATCTTTTTAAATTAAAAAAAATATTCAGGAGAAGTACAGCAGGTTATTTGTAAAATGGGTATGATCTTATGAAGCAAATCAAAACTAGTGAAAAAGCTTCCCAGTCAAAATAA